ACCATGTGATTGCAATAAGTATACTATCATCATTCAGAAGCCACAAAGCGTTGCATTTTAATTACTCAGCTAATTTAATTTAAGATACATAATCGGATTAATGATGTCATAAATCAATATCTTTTTAATTTTTTTTATAATATAAAGCCTCGTTTGGTGGTCAAGATAAAATTAGCCAAGACAAAGACAATAAAATCAAACGAAACTCAATTGTTTTATTGGACCTTGGAAGGTCTAACAAAAAAAATGCATAGAAGGTACGATAAACCATGATAAAATAACATTTACGGGTCAACCCGACAAGTTATTGGGGATATCAGATATCAAGCAAAGTCCTAACCAAACGAGGCCTAAATATTCCACCAAATTCTTACATCATATATTAAGTGATGTACCTTCGATCAGTATCATTTGTCTGAATGAAAATAAATGGATGTATCAGTATCAGAAAAAAAACATTAGTATATAGAAATAAATATTATAATTAATATATCATCTACAACTTGTCCTGTAAATTTAAATATTGAATAGTAATAAATAATAATAATAAAAATCAGGGCCTACAGCTGAGAAGGTAGATGTTAGCATGTGCTGTAGATCCCATTAAAGGCCACTCTTCCCAAAGCAAATCATCAACTAATTAAAATTTTGATCCACCAAATTAAATTGAATTCTTTTCTAATTTATTTTCTACATTTAAAATTATATATTTTTTAATAAGTGTACTAAATTCAAGAATGGGAAATTATTTAAGGCCCCGAAATAACTATATAATATTCTCATTTTATGAGATTTATATTCCAATCGCAATAAAATTGAAACTGAAACGAAAATCGAAACCGCAAACGAGGTCCTGTCAAGTACCTTTTCATGAAAATGCCATTAAATTTAGGTCAGATTACGAAACAATTTCTCGTGTTTGGGTAATTACTACCACCTCTGGCCTCAATCATGAATCTTCTTAACACGTCCACACTTATGGTCTCAAATTCAACATAATCTTCTAGATTAAGTGGAATGTTCTCTAGTCTGTACTCGTTTTATAGAAAATTACAGTTTTCTGGTGCACGACAATCTGATATTTACAAGCAAAAAAACATGTGTTATGATCATCTTGTTTCAAAATATTGGGATCGAATGCTGTAAAAGATGTACAGATTAGAGAATATTCCACAAAGTGACTCCACAAAAAGATTGTGTTAGTAAAAATCACAAAGAGAATCGAGAAAGAGCCAAAACAAAGACATCAAAATAGGAAGAAGACGAAGATGCAAAGAACAAAAGCAATAAAGAAAGGAAGTAACACATGGAGAGACAAAGAAACTAAGGCCACGTCTGAAATAGGGCCCTAATTTTTAATGTGGGGATTAAAATCTGACCAGAGTATTATACACGGATTAGGGCTGTTCCTCGAACCCATTTTCACATGCCTTATCTCCTCAATTTATCTACCCCCAATTTAACTAATCAAATCCCCTTGTTTCCTGTTTTCGTAATCCCTCCAAACGAAACGTGCCCATTTTCTGAACACGTTACATCTCGGTAAAATCATCGATGGAAATTGGAACGAAATTTTCGATTCTTGGAACAACATTTTTTGTTCTGGATTCCGATTTTCATTTTTTCCGTAAACTTCTGATTATTTTATGAAATACATTTCTAAAATCAATATAATCTTGTATTTTATATAATGGGTGACTAAAAAGATTGGAACTTCCGAATTCTGCCGATTTTGTTTCCTAATATGGGACAAGTTTTTTTTCATTCCAACTTTCGATCGTTCCCATTTGTTTTTCGAAAGGAACTCGAATTTGTATCCACTTCCGAATAAAAAATTGTAATTTTTTTCGAAAGTGTCAATTTCGATCCGACCCGTCTAGTTTCCACCTCTACATATGTAAATCATATATACCTATCGATATGTATATAAAATATCTATCTATCTATACATGTGTATCGTACAAATGAATAGGATTGTAGCATATAAAACAAACCAATAACAAGTGCTTTTACCACATGCATATATATATCCAAGAGGTAAAGAATCAATACCATTATCTTCAACATTAATTTACAGCTTTCAAGATTCCTTATTCATCATCTAAATAAATTTCAAGTAAATAAATCAAGATGTACGTTTCCTATCTGTTTCTTCTTCCACCGATCATAAATTAAATATAAATCTTTTTCACTAGTCGTCCATTATTATATTAATTAAACAATGGAACAGTGAAAAAAAAATAAGAAGGCAGCAGTTTTCAGCTGTACAAGTACATGAATAATAATGGCTCTGCAATTATTTCTTGACAGGGATTGAACGTTCGTATGTGGTGGATCGGAGGAGAGAGAAACAACCTAGAGAGAGAAACAAGCTGATGAAATTATTCATAAATATAATAGTTTCTTGATATCACTTCACTTGTTGCTTTCTTATGTTTTCTGTCTGATATGCCAATGCAAACTTGGTAGATCTTTTTTTTTTTCAGACAGTGAAAGGAGAATTATTATTATTAATTTTTATTTTTATTTATTATTATTATTATTATTATGGGGAAGACTGGAAAATGGATAAGAAACTTCTTGATCGGTAAGAAAGATAAAGAGAAGGAGAAAGAGGGTAATTACCAGAAAACCGCCGCCGCCAACAATGGCTACGACCACCACCACCACCACCGGCCGACGACGCCCATATCCATCCCGCAGCAGCCCACCACCCCCAAGGAGAAGCGGCGCTGGAGCTTCCGTCGTTCCTCCGCCGCCGCGCCGCCGTCGGACGCCATCCCGGTGGAGAGCGACACCAAGAAGCACGCGATGGCGGTCGCAGTAGCCACCGCCGCCGCCGCTGACGCGGCGGTGGCGGCGGCCAAGGCTGCCGCCGCCGTCATCCACCTGACCTCCGCCTCCGGCAGGTCCAGCAGCGCGTTCGAGGATGCTGCGGCCACCATGATCCAGTCTGTTTTCCGTGGATATCTGGTACGTATTGTAAAATTAAGGACAAATTACGGTAAGCTCTGAGATATTGTCAAATTACGAAAATCCTTATTTTATCTGGGTAATTAATTAATTACGAAAATATCCCATCAGAGGTAAATTAAGGGTTGTTAAATCGGTTAAAACCGAACTTAAATTTCGGTACGCCAACATTTCTTATCGTTTACCGAACTGAATATACGATTTGGATTGTTAAATAATCGAATTACATAAATTTTATGTATAAATATTTAAAATGAGGGGTGGTTGTAATTACCCAAACAAGAGGTTTTTTTTGGTAATTTGGTCATACATCAGGATGGCCGTTATTTGCCCATAATATAAAATAAAAAACAAAAAAATTGGATCTTGATTAGTGAATACTAATTGGGATTATAAACTAATTAATTATTGCAATTTGCAGGCAAGGAAAGCGCTGAATGCATTAAAAGGATTAGTGAAACTGCAAGCATTAGTGAGAGGGCATCTGGTGAGAAAACAAGCTACAGCTACCCTGCGGTGCATGCAAGCTTTGGTGACAGTCCAATCAAGAGCACGTGCGCAGAGATTACGAATGGCTGAAGAAATTAAATCAATTGATCAAAGGCAATTTCATCACAGAAAATCTACTCAGGAAAATCGGTTTAGAAACTCTAATCAAGTATGTTTTTTTTTTTTTACTATTATCTTTAATTAAATATTTTAATTACAATGTTTGGATCTCATTAATTATTTCCCCTTTTAGTTTTTTTTTTAATTAGGGGGAAATAATATTTAATTATTTGAGAGTCTGTTAAGAGATTCGAAAGCCTCGTTTGGTTTCTAAGATAAGATTTAACAGTACTCTTACGAAATGTCTATAATTGGCGGGCCGGGCCCGAATAGCTATTAGACTAATGAGTAAAAGTCTAATTATTTGATTAATCATGGCTAATCTTAACGACCATTGCAGAACGAATACGACAGAGGCCTCGAAGAGAACATCAAGATAGTCGAAATGGATCTAGGCGACTACAACAAGCCCGTAACAAGAGCCCGTAGCAGCTACTCGAACCACCGCTCCTCAACCAATTACCAAGAAAACCACCACCACCACCACCAAATAATCTCGCCGTCGCAATCGGCAGCATCGCTCGCGGCGGAAACGAGCCCGCGAGCGTGCAGCAACCACTTCGACGACCGCTCGTTCGGCACGCCGCAGAGCAGCCCGCAGTGCCGGTCGAGCACTATAATGTCGAAGACGCCACCGACAATCCCGTATCCTAATAATTACCCGAAATCGGACTACGCGGAGTCGCTATACAGCGAGTTCCCGTTCTACCCGAGCTACATGGCGAACACGGAGTCTTCTAGGGCTAAGGCCCGGTCCCACAGTGCGCCGAAGCAGAGGCCCGTCGAGACTTTCGAGAGGCAGCCGAGTAGTAGCGGTAGGAGGAGGCCTTCTTTGGAAGGCCGGAATGTACCGAGAGCGGTTAGGATGCAACGGTCGTCGTCGCAAGTGGGGCCCGCCTCGCAGAATTATCAGTACCCGTGGTCGGTTGTTAAGCTTGACAGGTCAGCAGCTTCACTCAAGGATAGTGAGTGTGGATCAACCAGCACCATGCTTACTAACACTAATTACTGCAGATCACTTGTGGGCTTTGATGTAAGTAATTGTATATAACTAATTATATTGTTTTATTTTTTTTTTTGTTTAATTTTTTTTTTTTGCAATTTGATCATGAAAAAATGAAGATCAAGATAAATCAATTGTTTGTTTTATGTTTGTTAATTTTGTTTGTTGTGATTTTCAGGTGCAAGGAGCTAGGTACTAATTTATCTTGATACCCCAAGAAATGGAAATAATCTTTGTGAATTCTAAAAGGTGATTTGAAGTTTGTAATAATAATAATAATAATTATTATTATATTTATAATTATAATTTTTTGTTTTTTTGTAAGTTGATTTGATCTTTGTGTGGGAGAGTACTGAGTAGTGTTTGATGATCTTGAAATGTAGTTTCGTTTGACCAATCTTTGTGTATGATGTATTGTTTTGTGACTCGTTTGGCTTCCACATTAATTTGTACTTGTGTTTTTTTGTTAATATATGTCGATTTAAAAGAAATTTGTGTGTTTCTTTTTATTCATTCTTTAATTATTCAATGAATAATTCTTAATGTTGTCCCATTAATCTCACCTGCAGATTAGTTTACAACTGAGTATTCATGTATTATGGGTTTATTACGATCACCTCTTTGAGATGATGTCAAGCTACGAAAAAATTCTTATATTTAGTTAATTATAACAATCTCCCTTAACTATGAATCTTGTTACACACGCAGTCAAATTTAGTGGAATTTTCTAAATTGTATATAATATTCTCAAGTTTGTACCCATTTTTATCTCATTTGAACTCCACATTTTTGAAACAAGATGATCATAAGATGTTTCTCTTGACTTGTAAATATCAGATTGTGGTGCATCAGAAACTTTGCACAAAACGAATACAAGTTAGAGAATACTCCACGAAATCTAGAAGATAATTTTGCATTTGACAGCATAAGGGTTGATGTGAAACAAAATTAATACTTGAGGGGTAATTGTAATTACCCAAACAAAAGGGGGTTTTCATCACTTGACCTTACCTTAGGGGTTTACCGTGATTTACCGTTTGTTTTATACTAGAAGTGATGGGGTCAATTTGGCATTCTATTGGGCTCGTGAAATCTTTGAGATTGGATTTCATTGGTGGACCATGACTCGATTTTATCATGTTTAATGGGCTCAAAATTAGGTCAGAGCCTCAATCATAAGTATGACTTATAAATACACTATTTTCTCCACCATAAAAGGTACGCTTTATTTTACACACTAATCACACGATCAAATCACAAATCTCACATCGTCTTCTCTATTTCGTTTTCCTTCTCATTTTGTTCTTTCTTGAAATATTTCCCCAATTAACTTGAACGTCAGAAGGTCTCCTCAGAACTTTAACTCGAAATATCAGGTGAACGAAACAGTTTTTCGACGATTGAGATTGGGGAAGGTGTTCGAGAAGAGCTAATATTAGTGGTGGTTAAATTAACCTCCATCAAGGAGTGTAATTATTAATTAAAAAAAAAAAAAAAAAAAAAGAGGTAGTGGATGTGATAGAAAAGAAAACATAACTTGGAAATATAACTCATATTTTCCATCACTTCAATCTTTCTTGTTCATTAAAGTGCACTTTTAATTAGTGGGCATTATTCATTCTTTGATCATATTCACACGCATACATTATAATTGGTATCTAGATTCCTCAGTAATATAAATCATTATAAAAAAAGGTCCCTTGATTTCAATCTCACATACATGATACATGTAATTTAAAGATGTGGTGATGTATCAAATTAATTGTGTTATTCCCCACATATAAGTAGGAACATACTTTCACATGGTCTGCCTATCCACTTATTATTACGTTTCTTTTCATCACATCTTTTAGGGTAAATTTAAAAAAAAAAATTATGAACTTATGTTAAATTACGAAAAACGCCCCCACTTATCATTAATTATACATTTGTTTCAATCTTACACCGATACCCTGACGGTGAATTTTTTCAAAGAATCTTTTTTCTTCAAGGTAATATATTCCGGAAAATGTCAACTCTACTACTTGTATAACTAACATTTCTTTATGCTACCTTTTAATGATAAAAATTGCCCTCATATCGTTAATGGTGTACTAAAGAGGTGTTAATGTGTATTTAAGAAGTAAAGATTTAGTGTAAAGGCTCTCTACGGATAATTTTTGTCTTAAAAGAATAGCATAAAGAAATGCCACGTCGTTAGGGATAGAATCAGCATTTTTTCGGGAAAAAATTGCTTTGAATAAAAAAGATTCTATTAAAACTCACACTGTAAGAGAGTGTATGTAAAATAAAAACAAACGTTTGAGGAATTTTTGTTATTACGAATAGGTAGGAATTTTTTTGCTAAAAAAATATAAATTAATAATTATTAATTTATCAAAAATTTAATATTTCATAAAATTAATAACTAAATATATATTTAATGTTTAACTAAATAATGTTATAAATAGACATATGTTGATATGCACAAAAAGCATCATATCTCTCAAGTTTAATTTCCATACATTGATAAGATTCAACTCGGATTATCCAATAATTTTTCCATGTTTTTTTTTAATTTCTGTGTAATATACTGTATACATTACACGTGTATATTGTATTTAGGTACCGATTCAATTTGAATTATCGATTGCATTTTATTTCTTTATTTTGTTATTTTAATTTGTTGCTATATATACATACTTTTATTACAGTAGTGTGAATCTTATCAATTGAAAATGTCACTAGCTGTTAGCGTTAGTGTTTATTTAATGGGGTTTTAAGATATAAGTTCTGGTGACAAATCGTATTAGAATTAAATGACAATTTTAACTAAAATTTGTTTCACATCCTTTATTAAATTCATTCAAAAAATGCCACTCCACTCACAAATTCGAAATTACACCAAATTGTAAATATACTATGATGAACTATGGTATTATTTAACATTTTAAGTTTGCATCTAGCATTTTTTTTCTTACGTGAAACACGGTTTTTTTTCTCCGTATTTTATCATTATATAAAAATCTATTTTTTCCCATTATTTTCTACATAAAGTGAAAATTATGATTTTTTTATTGATTTTTTCGGTCGTAGACATCTTCAGAAACCCATAGGAAACCGTAATAATCCGTAGTCACCCATAGACATTTTGAAACCCTGACTCCTCCTACAAACCCTAGCATGCAGACCCATAGACACCCATAAACATCCAAATCGATTTTTTTTTAAATTTTCCCCACCAAACCCTAGATCCGCTCCTCCATCCACCATCCACCACCACCACCATCACCGAGCGTCGCCATCACGCCATCATCCATACCCAATACTGTCGCCGCGCCTTCCACCATAGATCGGACCTTGAACCACCATAGTCGCCGTCTCCTTGCCTCTACAATCATCAGCTTATTGTCGTCGTCTTCACCGCCATAACCACCGCCCCCTCAATAGTGGATTGGAGTGGTGGAGAACGAAAGAGAGGGAGAGATACAGATATCAAAAAATAGAGGGATAAAGATTGTGTGAGAGAGAGAGTGAGAGAAATAGACGAGATAGAGAAAGCGAGATTGAGAGATAAAGAGGGCGAGATTGAGAGACAGAAGAAAAAAGAAAAATAAATCTGAGAGAAACGTGACTTTAGAGTTTATGGATTTAGGTTAAGGGTAAATTAGAGATAAAAGAAAATTTGAGGATGTGACTCATATTTATTTTTCTAAAAAGGATTTAGTTCATAAAAAAATATTAAGGTTATATTCCACATCTAATTATGTTTCCAACTAAGGACCTCTAGCATATTACCCCTTATTTGATTTTATCGAATATAACATAGATTTGGTCCCTTATTTATAAAGTTAAGTGATATTTATTCAATAATTCTCCACAATAAGATAATCAGGTATAAATAAATAAAGCAAGGAGATTGAGGCATTTAAATTGTTTATGTAATATAAGAATATCACACAGTAATAATTAATTAGGTGGTTAATACTATTGCATGGCATTAAATCAACCTCAAAGACAATACAAAAGTTTATGTGTAAAAAGACCATGTCGCCACGTGTTGTTTAATTATTTAGCTAATTAATATTAATATATAGGTGTGTTATTCAATTTATTTTACACGTACACGTATGCATCTCACCATATATTTCTCACGCACTCAAATTAATATAATATATTATATTTATAATAAAGAATATAAAACATATATATGATGCAAAAAGTATAATCTGCTCAAAATGAAATATTTTTTAAATTGCTATCTCCCCACCCCAATAAATCATGTTTCCCATCAAGTCACTACTTGATTTCTAGAACGACCACCACGTGTCCTGCTCCATCACTATGTCCAATCTGATGATGCCACGTACAATTACAATTCCAACTCGACAAAAGTTGAATAGGGGTGATTCAACGATGAGACTACTCCCACGTGTCAGTCAACTCATATAATTGACTATTTATCCCCCAATATTCATCTTTAATCTTTTCCTCATATAATTGGGAATCAAAATCATGTTTAATATATTATACTATATTATAGAAAATTATATGGCACGGACACGAAAATGGCAATACAGAAAATGTATACGTTAAAACGGCACTGTTCCAAAAATGAGGGTACAAAAATCTGGGAAAAACGTAAATATTAAAAGTATAGGGGTATATTCATAAATAATCTATATAAACATCTATAAGTTTGTATTTATATATAAATTATTTTTATATATTTTTATACAAACATATTCAAAATTTTACTATCAACTTACCAATTTGCAACTGATCTTTAAATTATGTAAATAATTTGGAAAACAACAACAACAAAAAAAATTAAAAATTTACTATTCAGACATTTTTCTAAATTTTTTAGAAATTGCATAATGACCCGAAAAGTGTCCGACAGGAGTTTTCGAGTTTCCGTCGCGTTTTCAAAACACGAAGAGATTAAGCGTTTTCAAAACACGAAGAGATTAAGAAGTTGAAGTTTCCCTCTAATAATTTTACTATTTTCCTTTCTCCAAGTACCACCCCACCCCCACTCCAAATCTATTATATATATGACCATATTACCCCTCCCCAAGTCCCAAAACACACACACACACACAAACAACTTCCATAAATCCATCCACTTCTTCTCTGCATGCTCACATGCAGTAACAGCAGCAGCAGCAAAAATGCCAGCATCACTCTCCTAAACCGCCATTCTATATATATACACACTATAAAACACCACCACCTCCTCTCTCTCTCCTCCCTCTGTCTCTCTCTCTCTCTCTCTAGAAATATATACATATATACTGTATACATATAACTCTTCATCATCTCTATCTTCTTCTGCTACCCTTTTCAGTTCTAGACAAAACAACCTTAAATTCTCCCCAAACAAAATCCCAAAAACAAAGAAAAAAAGAAAAAGAAAAAGGAAAATGGGAAATCAAGAAAATGAAGAAACAATCCTCCACCACCAGCAGCGGCGGCGCGTGGAAGTCCAAGCACCACCGACAAAACCCTTTACAGAATCACTAAAATCATCCCTGAAAGAAACCTTCTTCCCCGACGATCCATTCAGACAATTCAAGAACCAGCCACTCTCAAGAAAATTCCTGCTAGGGTTTCAGTACTTCATCCCCATACTCGAGTGGGCCCCACGCTACACCTTCGATTTCTTCAAAGCCGACTTCGTCTCCGGCATCACCATCGCCAGCCTGGCAGTTCCTCAGGGCATCAGCTACGCCGGCTTAGCCAGCTTGCCTCCTGTCATCGGCCTCTGTAAGAATTCTTTTTTATATGTACAGCAGAACCTCAATAAATTAATAACCTTAAATAATTAACTCGATAATTTAATAATTTATTAAATTAATTTATAGAGGTTTAACTATATATAATTATTTCTGATCAGTTAAATTCCTAATATGTTTTTTATAAAAGATTCGAGCTTTGTGCCGCCATTGATATACGCAATGCTCGGAACTTCGAGAGATTTGGCAATCGGAACGGTGGCGGTTCCATCGCTTCTGATTTCGTCGATGCTGGCAAAAGAAGTTGATCCTCGTACCAACACGAAGCTCTATGTGGAGTTGGTTCTTACTGCAACTTTCTTTGCTGGTGTTTTTCAAGCTTCTTTAGGCTTGTTGAGGTGATTTTTATTTATTTAATTAATAGTAATTATGTATATATAATCAAGATTATGCTTGTTTTATAATTGGTTATTTTGCAATTAGTACCCCTGCATTATATCGAAGTGTCAACAAAACTACTCCATGTTATTTTATTGACGAAATTCCCCATGATTTAATTGTTTTTAGCATACAGTTCCCTAAATAGGGGCACTAATTGCTCAAAAAATTAAATTATAGGAGGGTTTTGCTAATAAAATTCAATATAATGTGGGTTTTTTTAGCAATTTAGAATAATGTATATAGGGTTAGTGATTGCAATAAACTCAGTTTTTAATATTTGGCTAATTAGAAAAAAGGAAATGATCACATGCATATATATATATACTATTAGCTTCTAGTGGAATTGAATTAGTTCTAATATACATAAGCCGCAGTGGCGAAACCAGCATAAGGCTGCTGAGGGGCCATGGCCCCCGTCACTTTGCAAACAATCTACTACATTATAGAAAGGTTTATTAATTTTGTTAAGGATGCAGTATCGTCGGCCATCCTAGTCCGTCGAACATAAAATCCTCGCTCCAAAGACACGACCACACACACAGAAACATCACACGTGCACACATAGATGATAGATACATAAGTTTGTATGTATAAAGCATATGATGAGATACACACGAATATTATAAGGTGTACCAAATATTTTGTCCAATACATAGGAATTTAATTTTGCCATAGAGACAAAACAAAACAAAAAATAAGGTTGGATGAGAAGAGAACGAATTAATTGAGGATGACGTAAAGACAAATTTAAAAATAAAAAAAAAAATAAAAAAAAGTAATTAATGCATAGGTGATGGGTATTTTGGTAATTTTGCAGGCTTGGATTCATAGTTGACTTTCTATCACATGCAACAATAGTGGGGTTCATGAGTGGAGCTGCAACAGTTGTTTGCTTGCAGCAGTTGAAGGGAATTCTTGGACTCCTCCACTTCACTCACAATGCTGACCTCATCTCTGTTGTCAGATCTGTATTTAGCCAATTCCACCTGGTAATAGCAAAAAAAAATTGATAAATCATCCAATTATGCCACGTGTGCTAATAATATTTGCATGTTTTTGTCATGTGTTTTTATTTGTTGGTGCAGTGGAGATGGGAGAGTGGAGTGTTGGGCTGCTGTTTTCTCTTGTTTCTGTTCATCACTAGATACTTTGTAAGTAATTCAATTTTTTTCAGGATTTTATTGCATTGAGTACCACTATGTTTAGACTAATTACAAAAATTCCCTGTCTTACTTTTATTTGCAAAAAAAAAAAAAAAAAAAAAAAACCGGTGATTCAATTTTTTTAGCAGACGAAAGTAAAAAATTTAGGAAGATTTTCGCTTGATATTAATAAGTAGGGTAAATTACGGCCACACCCTGAGATAATGTCAAATTATAAAGAAAAAAAAAACCCTCATGTTTGGGTAATTACAACAACCCCTCGATTATGAATTTTCTTACACGTCCAATATTGCGATGTCAAATTTAATGGATTCTTGTAGATTATATGGAATATTCTCCAGATTGTACTCGTTTTACCCCGTTCGAGCTCCACATTTTGAAACAAGATGATCATATCTTGGCTTGTAAATATCAGATTGTGATGCATCATAAACTGCATTTTTGCATAAAACGAGTAAAAAATTTTAGGACACTCCATGAAATCTAGAAGATTATGTTGAATTTACGACCATAAGGGTGGACGTGTAAGAAGATTCATAATTGAGGAGATGATTGTAAGTTACCCAAACAATAAGAGTTTTTTTGTAATTTGACCTTACTTCAGGGGTTGTCCGTCGTTTATCCTAATAAATAATAACACTAAAAGTTATAGCAATTTGATATAATACAACATTGCCAAATGAAGTAAAATCTATTTTATTTTCAGTTAAATATGTTTAATTATTTATTAATTTTGGCCAAAAAAAATTGTTGTAACAAACAGAGCAGGAAAAGAGCAGTGTTCTTCTGGATTAATGCTTTGGCACCTCTCACATCTGTTATCTTCGGAAGTCTTCTGGTTTATTTCACCCATGCAGATAATCATGGTGTTGAGATTGTAAGCTCTCAATAAATAATTAATAATAAATAAATAAATAAAACACACACACACACACAGAACCTAACAAGTGATTTTGATGTCACAGATTGGATACCTAAAGAAAGGGCTTAATCCACAATCGATTACGGAATTGGAGTCCGTGTTTAAATCGACCTATCTCTTGATGGCAATCAAAACCGGAATCATCACCGGTATCATCGCCCTCGCTGTAAGTGTTAGAAGCAATTTTCACACAGTGATCGTAAACGAACATGTGAATTTACAAATACGCCCTCGCTCAACTTTCTCGAATATTATTACAAAAACAGGAAGGAATAGCCGTGGGAAGAAGCTTCGCCACGTACAAGAGCTACCACATAGACGGAAACAAAGAGATGATTGCAATCGGAATGATGAACATTGCTGGATCATGCACCTCTTGCTACTTAACCACGGGTATTTAGAAAAAAAAATCATAATCAAGAAAATCGATCTTTATTTTTTTTAATTTTTTTTATTGCACTAGGGCCGTTTTCGAGGACAGCTGTCAATTTCAACGCGGGGTGTAAAACTGCGGTCTCGAACATTGTGATGGCAACTGCGGTTATGATAACTCTACTATTTCTTACACCGTTGTTCCACTACACGCCCCTGGTTGTGCTCTCTGCTATAATAATGGCAGCTATGATCAGTATTATAGACTACGAAGCTGCTATTCACCTATGGAAAGTCGACAAGTTCGACTTCATAGTGTGCATAAGTGCTTACTTGGGAGTCGTCTTTCAAAGTGTCGAAGCCGGACTAATGATTGCGGTACGTTAAAAAAAAAAAAAAAAAAAAAGGGTTTTTTTTTTTTGTTTTGGGGTTTCGGTTTAAGACGTAGCGATTGAATTTGTGTGTGATTATTGTGATAGGTGGGAATGTCGCTGCTTCGAATACTTCTATTTGTAGCTAGGCCAAAGACTTATGTCATGGGTAGTGTTTCTAATTCGATGACTTATAGAAGTATCGAGCAATATCCCGACGCGAATTCTGTGCCCGGAATTTTAATCCTACAAGTCAATGCTCCGATCTATTTTGCCAATGCCAGTTACTTGAGAGAAAGGTATATACTATCTCGATTCAAAGAACCATATATATATATATATATATATATATATATATATATATATATATATATATATATATATATATATATATACATGTACTCACTTGAGTTGATTATGTTCTTCTTAGGATCTCGAGATGGATAGATGAAGAGGAGGAGAAGCTAAAAAAATCGGCGAAATACGAACTGCAATACGTCATATTAGATATGAGTGGTGAGTGTATGAACAACACTATATTCGTCTTTTTAAGACAACCTCGTACTTTTGTTTCACTGATGAAAATAATTAAAACGACAGGTGTAGGGAATATCGATACGAGTGGAATCAGTATGCTTGAAGAAGTCCAGAAGAATGCAGACAGAAGATGCATTAAGGTAACACAATTATCTTAAAAGACGGCTTTTTTTTTTATTTAGTATTTGCATGCTAATGTTGTCCTATGTTCAGCTTCTATTGGCTAATCCTGGAGGAGAAGTAATGAAGAAGTTAAACAAGTCGAAGTTTGTCGACAAAATCGGGCACGAGTGGATCTACTTAACAGTTGGCGAAGCAGTAAATGCATGCAATTTTATGCTCCAATCATGCAAGCCGAATACTAAGGCAGTAGTCGAAAGTGAGGCAGCAGATAATCAAGTTTAATATCACACATTACAAGGGATTTTGGCTTTCTAAAACAAGAAAACGAAAAGCCGATTCCTAAATTCCGAAAAATTTCTGAAAAATAAGAACATTCGGAGCTTTTTTTTTTCAGAAGCAATTTTTATTTAATTCCAAATTACAATTGTTTGCTTATTTTATGTTATTCCAGTCTTAGTTGAAAGCACATGCGGGTTATGAGCCAAATCTCGACAAACTGATTAGTGACATCATACTTCTAATAGAAGAAGTTAACTAACATGTTAAAGACAGCCTAGATTTCGAATTATATGCTCTCCTGTCTATTTACAGATAATAAATCAACCACATTACGTCACCGAATTTCAGTTGTAACAGTGAGATTTCTTATGTTATAAGATGGAACTAACATTAAGTGACGATTGTTTCACTATATTTAACGAGCCAAAAGCCAGTGTTACACGAGTAGGTAATTTCAAGATAGATGAACCATTAAATCAAACGTTGGCTGATAAATCAAGAAAAGCAAAAGTAGGGGCAAAAGGAGTAATCTAAGAGAACAAATCTGAATCACACAAAACAACAAAACTGCCACAATGAAATCCCGGTTTTTTTTCTACAACTAAAAGCCTCCGTTAATTGCAGCAACTCCCAGTGAATCCAGAAATCGTACCTTCGTCCGGGTGAATTTGGAAGCTTCTTATAAACAGATTGCACATCGTCACGTAATATCTATTTTACTTCTGATTATGAGCTCCATAATTTGGACAAGTGTCCCCTCAAACGAATCTTCATCACAATCGAGATCACGGCTTGTGCAAATGTTTTATGTCTGCTTGAATACACGAGGAAGAACTTCATGCACACTGATGTCTAATTCAACAGGGTCCCTGATGAAATATGTGCAATGATTGATTATTAAACCATTAATAAATAAATTCCAAATCATGAACTTTCTGGATGAAAAATATTTATTTTTGTGTGCGCAAGTGTTTGAATATATATGGGTGTATATAAGTGAATGAGTGGAGAAAAACAAACCTGCATAAGGTTCGGCCCTTCTCGTATGTACTGGGAAACAAACCATACTTTCCGAAGCAAAGGTGATTCGAATTGGAAAAAGAAACCATCACTTTGCCCATGCTTCCATTTTCTTGATCCTTGGCCTTTCCACACCTGCATTTACCGAGACAATAACACTTCAAATGGTGTAAATTGCAAGAAAACAAGTTCAAAATCACCAAAAAAAAAAATCTTAAACGAACAACGTAGAAAGGTAAAATGTTACCTGGGGATAAGATATTATACTTTTGGGAGCTACTAAGCAAGCAGCTCCAGAGAACGAATCATCCGCATACTCTCTGAGGAACGAATAACAATTGTTGTGTGTGTGTGGTGATTCAAATGCCTGTCATAGTAGAGAGGAAAAGTTAGGCTCTTTATCCATTGTATTTTCACAATCAATGATAATTTACATAATAATTAAAGAAAAAAAAAAGGTGATGAAACGAAAACATGCCTGCAAAATCATAGAATTGGTTAAATACCTTATCAATATTGACAACTGGAGCATATTTTTCGGTGTCTGTTTTATCCTTGTTAAGCATGAAATAAACTCTAGGGTCCACAGTTGAAGTTTCATGACAAGATTTTACGGCATTCTCCATTGTTTCGACGAGGAAAGAGAAAACCTCCTTCGAACCATCTTCGGCTCCATATAATCCAGACTGCAAAAATAAAATAATTAAAGTCAAATCACTTGAAATTTGAATGAAAAATACAACATATGGAAAAAACGAACTCTTACTAGTTCAGTTTTTAAGGAGTCCAAATGTTTTGACATATCAACATTTGTTCTCATAGTTTCCACTTCTTGTGCTCGTTTCTTATCTTTTGCCAATTGTGTTAGCCTCTTGATTTTTTTGGCCACCTCGGAACTTTTTGCGTTGTACTTCAGGGCAACTTGGAAAGCATCTAAGGCCTGCACAGAAAATAATGAAAATTGATAGTTGGCATCTAATTAGCTAGAAATGCGGCTTAAGCAAGAAAAAAAACCAACAAAAACGCGTACATCTTCGTATCGTTCCATAGCCTCTAGAACACATCCTTTCCTGAAATAACCCTGCAAAAGCAACAAGTTTCCATGTATGTGTAAAGCTGGAATTGCAATAAAAAAAAAAAAAAAAAAAGTAATTTAATCATTAATGAAATGTACCTTTTCCCAATCTGGTTTCAAAGTGATAGTTGTGTCTGCATCGGCAAGAGCTTTGCTAAGTTTTACCAAATTTAGAAATGCTGCAGCTCGATTGCTGGGCGAAGATCATAAATGAAAACGGTTAGGGCAAGAAAACAAGCGTTAGTGAAAATACGAAACACAGTATCTCGTTGTGCTGATTCAAATATATAAAATCATGTCCAAATACAATTTACAATTCATTTACTAGAAGCAACCGACAAGCTATTGAAGCAAAACACAATTCGTATATCTCAAGTTTGAGCTCATCTACTACATTCTGTCTATACACACACAACCATAATCACATAATCTCCAAAACAAAACACACAGACTTCATTATTTCCACCGACAGTCGATAATCAAAGATTAATTACTCAAAAACACAATAAAATCTTGAAGAATAAAACACTAAACACAAAACGAAATATAAATAAAAATAAAAATAGATACAATGCTTTGAAAATAGACATTTGCAAACTTGAAGCTTCAACCCAATAGCTATACTTGCACGATACCAGCTAAAAAATAAATAAATAAAAATAATCAATCTGGAATTAAACACTAGATTTGCATACAGAAATGGATTTGAGCGATTAATACCTGTAAAGAGTGGGATTAGATGGGTCTTGCTTAATAGCCTGAGTATAAAGAGCTGCAGCTTTGAGATAATTCCCTGCTTTGAAAAATTCATTTCCCTGATCTTTCAGTGAAATCTGCGCTGCTTTTCCCTCCGATTCTCCCATTTTCGAATCCGAATCCGAATCCGAATTGATTATTAACACTGTCTTCCTTTTTCTAATTTGATTTGGGGGTTTTCGTTAGGGTTTCTGTGAGATTTTTGCCCAACTTCATTTGTCTGCTAGCTGATGTGCATTTGCTCTGCTTAGTTCTCGGCAAAGAGAAAAAACGTGCAATTGTTTTTCCATAAATCGCGTTTTAAGCAGAATCATATAATCGCGTTTAGCATCAGTAATAATAATAACCGGGAAAAATACAGTTTTTGTCCCTCAAGTTTGCACAAATTTCATATTTGGTCCCCTATGTTCACAAAAAACACATTTGGTCCCTTATGTTTCAAAAATTAATCATTTCTGTCAAGTTCCCGTTAAAACTAACGGAATCAAGCGTTTTCCTATCACTCACTTAACTTACATACTGACGATAAATGACGAAAATAACAAAAAATGTTAAATTATTGGAACATGAAGGACTAAATGTATTTTTTGTGAACATGAGGGACCAAATAGAGAATTGGTGCAAACTTGAGAGGTTAAAACTATAATTTTCCCAATAATAATCAGTCTTTAGAATTATGATTTTCCATGAAAGCCCATTAATATATTTTCTTTTTTGGAGATAACATGAAAGCCCATATATTTGGGTTGAGATTTGATTTTAAAGCCCGGTCAACTCATTTAGTTTGATTTTATTTTTAATTGATTAAAGTATATTATATGTATCATATTATCCGTAAAAAGTATATTTTTTTAGAAAATTGTAATAGTTTATTTTTAATTATTTATATATCGTTATCTCAAAATATTTTATTTTGTTTAGAAAATTAAAATAATTTATTTTTAATTATTTACAAATTCTAATTGTTATCCCATTCAAATTAGTGACTCATTTCTAAATATATTGATTCAAATATATAATTTTCGTTTATTCTTAATTGATTCTCTAGTCATAATTTTCTTCCTACACTATGTATCGCTTTGTAAAGTTAACAATGTCGATATTAGATAATACACATTACTAACAGCTTAAACTTTCAGTTGAGGTAGTCATTCAACCGATTTTATTGTATTAAGTTATATTTACAAACAAAAACCGGGGACTGTTCAATATTGAGAAAAGTGGACGACTCTTTATTTAAAAAAAAAACGAAAAAAAAAAATGAGGGATCCATTCGAGGTAAGGAAAGCCAAAAAAAATTAAAAATTAAAGTTTAATTTATTTGAATACTTCTTATAATTAAGTAACCACTGCAAATATGCTAAGTATTAAACCATTGAACTAGAAAGCTTCCTATATATATTCCTCCTAGTGACATTGACATTATAAGCAAGCACATATAATACTAATTTAAACCATATAATAACATTTTTTTAAGATGAAATTTTTTATTTTAATTAATTTTAACATAAAAAAATGTCGCATGTAAGTTTTGATTTTAGTTATATTATAATATCTTGTTCTTTAGAATGCTATGTTTGATATCCTATAGCTGTCCAGCAACAACCATATAATAATTAGATATTCATCTGCTGATTTGATCATATAATAAAACAATTTTATATTAATTTTAAGTTAGTCCGCTGAATTTGGTAGTTGACATTTGTTTATTAATCATATTACTATTATTTTTTTCTTGAGAATACATTTTTGACTTGGTAAATTACAATAGTCACTCTAAATTATAAGATTAGTTATTCAGATGCATAAATACAATTTTGGGAACCTTATATTGCATTTCTTCTATGGGAAATTAAAAGGATACCATAAGGTAATGTCTAATTATGAAAAAACTCATATTGTTTGCATAATTACGAGCACCTCCTTGAAACTGACGGGCTGCAAAAATTCCTTATAAAATGTAGTAATTGTTTAAAATACTCATTTGTTAAAATAATTAAATGCAAGAGAAAAAAGTGCCGTATATTGAATTTAATGATTTTCTTATATTTGTCCCCTCATGCAATGTAAAACCTTTCACATAATCTCTGACACAAAAACGGCTAGTTAACAATAAACTAAAAAAGTTTCAAAAGAAAAGTTAAATAAATTAGTTTACAAAACTTTACAATTAGACTCATAAGGGTATTTTGGTCATTACAAATGAGTATTCCACGGAATCTATTTGATTATGCTATTGTTAACTCTGTGCTGGTAATTTTGTTAGACATAGAATACCTTAAGGTTATGAAAAACAATGAGGGTTTTTTTGTAATTAGATCATATCTCAGGGGAGTCCTTGTAATTTCCCATTTCTTTTATATATTGGCATACATCTATTGATATTATCTGCTAAATTCCAACCTAATTACTTTTGAAAATTGACTTTCACAAGTTTCCCACATGCAAGTAGGGATTAAATTAAACACAATTTAATTACATCACAAGCAACATAATTCAATAAAACATAATATAAAAATAATACAATTAATCCAATTTGGAGCATGCATATTGAGTACTTATTGACTATGGTAAATAATCGACTCTTTCCAGCTATTAAGTTCACCTGCTACACACACTGACCATTTCTTCAATTCACAAAAAACATTCACAATTTCACACAAAAATAAATAAATAATAATAATAATAATATTAATATTAATAATGTTTACTTTGTCAAAAGCATGCAAGACATGCAATAAAAATACAAGTGGTACGGTGATACCTAACGTAACTACTAGGTTCTTTTAAAAATTCAAAAAACACAAAATCAAAAATTAAAAAAATATTCGTAACTACATACTAGGTTTTGGTAAATGGTAATTTACTAAATTCCAACCAGCAATTAATCTTCTTGCAATTAAAAATTATAGTATATTTCTAGACTGTGACCTATATTGATTTGGCCCCCTAACTTCTAACTTTAGTGTATTATAAATAGTAATGTGTGAGTCCAAATTTACATTTAAGCCCATTTGGTTGGTAAGATAAGATTAGTCAAGATAAGATTAAATAATTTAATGAAACTTAATTAATTTATTGGAGCTCGCGAGGTTCAACAAAAAAAACTCACTATAAGGCAAGATAAGCCATGATTATATAATCTGGTGGGTCGACCCAGCAATTTATTAGGGATACCAAACATCAAATTAAGTCCAACTATTTAGTTAATCATTGCTTATCTTGCAACCAAACGGCGATACGGGAGGAAACGGAAATGTCTCAAAAGTGAGGATCCGGGAACTTGGGGAAAAAGTATAAATGTTAAAAGTACAGGGGTGTATGTATAAATATAAACATATTTAAGATTTTATTTTTATATATATATATAAAAGATGTTTTTATACATTTCTTTACAAATATATTCAAAATATATAATATTATCAACTATCAATTTGCAATTGACCATTCAGGTAAATAATTAGTGAAGAAAAATAATTCTGAAAATTAGTTATTTAAACATATTACGTTTCTAACTTTTCAGAAATTGCGAAATGGCCCATAAGGTGTTCGGCAGGTATCCTCGAGTGTCAGACAAGAAACATATCCGAAACACGAATACGTTAGGAAGTTGAAGCTTCCGTGGTACTATGTAACATTTAAACGAAGTAGAGAAATTAAAGACTGTTTACCCGATCATATATATCTTAATTACTAATATGCTCGTGTTTAAAAAGTTGTTGCATATCTTTATAGAGGAAAAAAATTATCATGAACCAAGTACTCGTATTTATTATATTAATGTTAATTAGATCACATTATTTAATTATGTTTTTTTTTTTTAAATATCTCCCTAACTTTTTTTATTTTGTTCTTTGACAAGCAAAGACCAACGATCCGTGCAATTGCATGCCTTTACCCAAAAAAAAATTTAATAAAAAAATAAATTAAATTAAAGGCACTAATTAATTATTATGAGAATTTTGATAGAAGAAGTTGCAATTTTAATTTATATAATTTTGGCCCCATTAATTGGTATATTATAGACCAAGTTTAGAAGAATGAGTCTAGATAATACTTGTGGTTTTTTGTTGCATAATATATGGTTCAAGATTACGTGTATGTGAATAAGATTTTTAATTTAATATTCCAATATATTAATTAAAGTTCATCCACCAAAACTCAAAACCGTGTTTCTGGTGATATCAAAAGCTAACCTAATTACTAATTAGTAATTAGCCTTTCATAATTATTGCTAATCTTAAGTGCCCTATAAATTAAAAAATTAAATAATTTATATATAAATGAACAAAAAAAAAGAACAATTCACGAAGAACTTTCGCAGCCACCTTCCATTAATTTTATTTTTTTATCAGCCCTTTGAAGTCAAGAGTGTGATAGCACTCAATTCATTATATATATATATATATATATATATATATATATATATATATATATATATATATATATATATATATATAACTAATCACATGTATATAAATCCACAACCTTAGCCAAATCACAAAATTAAACCCCAACAAAAAAAAAACCAATCCACAACCTTAGCCAAATCACAAAATTAAACCCCAACAAAAAAAAAACCAATAATGAAGAACAACAATTCATTATCCATTTCCATATTACTAATCTCTTTGATCTTATTCACAAAACCATCTCTCCAAGAATCAAATCCACCGCCGCCGCCGCTGCCACCGACAAATCCGCGTCTTTCCAACGCGTTCATCGCCCTCCAGGCATGGAAACACGCGATCACTGGCGATCCCAAGAACTTAACCGCCAACTGGTGCGGGCCCACGTATGCACTACACCGGAGTTACTGCGCACCGGCGCCCGATGACCCCCACACCATCACGGTCGCCGGAATCGATTTGAACCACGGCCGAATCTCCGGTTCCTTGCCGGAGGAGCTAGGGTTGTTGACCGATCTCGCTCTATTCCACATCAACTCGAACCGGTTCAAGAAAACCCTACCGGAAAGTTTCCGAGACCTCCATCTTTTGTACGAGCTCGATATAAGCAACAACCGATTCGCCGGAGTATTCCCCTCCGTCGTACTCTGCCTTCCAACACTAAAATTCCTCGACATTCGGTACAACAAGTTCCACGGTGAAGTTCCGTCGGAGCTTTTCGACAGAAAGCTCGACGCGATCTTTATCAACAACAACGATTTCGAGTTCCGCCTGCCGAAGAATATCTGGAACTCGACCGTCTCGGTTCTCGTGCTGGCCAACAACGATCTCCGCGGGTGTTTGCCCCCCGGGATCGGCCGCATGGCGAAAACCCTAAACGAGATTATCCTTACGAACTCCGGTCTTAGCGGGTGCTTGACCGACGAGATAGGGCTTCTTAAGAAGCTAACGGTGTTCGACGTGAGCAATAACAAACTCGTCGGTAGTTTGCCGGAGAAGATGGGGAATATGGAGAGCCTCGAGCAACTTAATGTTGCCGGAAACAAATTTTCCGGCCAGATTCCGGCGAGTATATGCTCGTTGCCGAGGCTCGAGAATTTCACGTATTCCGATAATTATTTCTGCGGCGAACCGAAATCTTGTCTCAAACTGAAAGATAAGGATGATAGGAAGAATTGCATACCTTATAGACCCAAACAACGCTCTGCTGAGGAATGCCATGTTTTTTATTCACACCCTGTCGATTGCGGTGCTCCCGGTTGTCCGGCGCCACCACCGCCGCCGCCGCCACCACCACCACCACCGCCACCGCCACCGCCACCGCCACATCGTTATCATAAACAAATTCATAATCATGCTACTCTTTTGCTTTGTTTTACTCGGTCTCATTGACTTTTTTCATTTTCTTTTTATTTTCTTGGGGATTTTCATTGAATACTTCTTATGCAAGAAAGGATATATATAATTATATATATGTATATGTATATAACGTAAAATTTTGTATTTTTTATTTTAATAAATTGTGACATGTGTAATAAAAGAAATTTTTGTCTCTGTTGGCAAAATTCAGTAATTTCATGGTTCATTTTATTTCTTTATTACAGGTTATTAATCGATCATGCTGGATATTTATTAATGAGTAATTGGAAAATTATTTTTAATGTTATTATATATATACACAGAAATTGAACTTTTCAAGATTGTCAGAATTAATGCAGCAGCCAAATATGAATATCTACATGAATTCGTCAACCAATTTTTAACATATGAATATGATTTAGTCAACTTGAATAAAACGACAACATAACTTTTGGGTTGAAAGTAGATATAATTTAGTTGAATATTAAATTATCGAGTTAATAATTTAGTAGATTAAACTATCGATGAATTTGTGTATTTTCTGATATTTATTTGATAGAAAGAAAAAAATGTTTATTATATATTGAGTGTTGATATAATTAAATATTGTCCTTCGCAAACAAATATACACTAAGGTGGTGTTTGCAGAAGAGTATTTATAAAAAGTATAAGTTATTCATTGTGTATTAAGTTAGTTTTAAGTAGGGCTGGCAATCGGGCCGTGTGAGCCGAGCCTGGGTCGGCTCAAGCTCATATACCATCGGGCCTCATTATTATAGGCTCAAGCTCAAATACCATCGGGCCTCATGCCTATAGGCTCAAACTCGCCTCACGCATTTTTTCGGGCTTCGGGTTTATATCGGGCTTATATCGAGCAATAAACAAATTACATATTTTACAACTTTGCAGTCGACATATTAAAGAAAAACAAAAAAAAAAAACTCCGCAGTCTAAGCGAAAAATCTAGACTATTCATTGAAAATCAAAATAAGCTTAAAAAATAAATAAATAAATAAAAAATCATAGTCTGTTCATTAAGACAAATAAAGCTTAATATTGCAAATATTTAATCCTTAATTAATTATACTAAAAAATGCATCTGAGCCCAAAATGAAAAAAAAAATCATAAAATAAAATAACTAGAAGCAATTCTAAATGTCCTTTAACTCTTTTCGAAAATCTTGAGACCTAAAATAAAAAAAAGGACAACAAATATATATATATATATATATATATATATATATATATATATATATATAGTCGGGCTTTATTCGGGTCGAGCCATGGTAAGCTCAGACTCGGCTCATAGTCTAATTGGGTTTAATAAAACGACTCAAACTCGGCCCGGCTCACAATTAATGGGGCTCGGCTCAAATAAAATCGGGCCGAGCTATCGGGCTTCGGGTAGGCCCGGCTCAATTGCCGGTCCTAGTTTTAAGTGCTTAATTCTAGAAGTTGAAAATGCTTATGCAATTACGTTAGAAAATCAACTTAAATTGAAAAAGCAGGTCCAAGGGTTCTTAAGATCTTGTATTATTTTTTGTGATCAATCTTCTTAGCTTGCAATTGAAAATTACAATATTTTTAGACTATGACCTATATTATTGATTTGGTCCCTAATTAACGTCTAATTAAAGTGTATAAACTTTAATCACATAATACAAATTTATGAAAAGACTTAGAGAAAGTCTCTTAACATTTACGTTATTTCTATGTCACACCCTATAAAGATTACAACAGGTGCACGTGGATTTTTACGTTGATCTGCACACACCAATGTGTGTGTGACTGTGTACCACTACAAGAAAAAAATGCATTAGCGACACCCCAATTGTGACAAATGAAAAAGTTGTCACTAATGTACACATTAAGTGACAACATCTTTTTTATTGGCACTAATAGCTCTATTTGTTGTCACATAATCCTTATTTATTGTCACTCTAGAGCATTAGCAACACACCGTTAGTGACAAGCACAATACTTTTTGCCTAACTATGTGAAAAATAGGTGTTGTCACTCAAACAATTTTTTTTTTAGTGTACTACGAATAATAATAAAGATATACCCATTACATTTCATGCCACGTAGCATAGTATAAATCAATCAAAAAATATCATGCACTAAGTACTTGCATTTATTAATGCTAATATTCAGTTTGTTCTTGTTCAATTGTCTCTCTCGTTTTGCTCACTACAACTGCATGCCTTTAAATTACCAAAAAAACACCACTAATTATTCGTGTCCAAATTTTAGTAGGTCAAGTTTAATTTTGTGAATTTTTTGTTGCATTGCACAATAAGTGTGAAAAAGAATTAGCTAAACCCTAATCACACATATATATACCTTGGCTAATTAATCACATATAAATCCACAACCTTAACCCAAATCAAAAACACAAAGACACATAATTTTGATGAAAGCAATGAATTCAATAGCCCTTTCCATACTACTTTTGATGTTCTTCATCACAAAACCATCTCTCCAACAACATCATATAGAACCTTCTCCACCACCGCAACAACGCTCGAACGCGCGGCTCTTCGATGCCTTTTACGCCCTCCAGGCGTGGAAAAACAAGATCACTGGAGATCCCAAGAACTTAACCTCCAACTGGTGCGGGCCCAACGTCTGCAGCTACACTGGAGTTTACTGCGCACCCGCCCCCGACAACCCTCACATCACAACCGTCGCGGGAATCGATTTGAACGGCGGAACGATATCCGGATCGTTGACCGAGGAGCTAGGTTTGTTGACCGATCTCGCGGTTCTCCACTTAAACTCGAACCAATTTAAAGGAACCCTACCCGCGAGTTTCCGGAACCTCCGCCTTTTGTACGAGCTCGATATAAGCAACAACCTCTTCTCCGGCGAATTCCCCTCCGCAGTTCTCCGCCTCCCCTCCTTAAAATATCTCGACATGCGATACAACAACTTATGCGGGAAAGTTCCTTCCGAACTCTTCGACATGAAACTCGACGCGGTTCTCATAAACAACAACAATTTCGGCCTCGGCCTACCGGAGAATATCGGGAACTCGACCGTTTCGGTACTCGTGGCATCGAACAACAATCTAGGGGGGTCCCTGCCCCCCGGGATCGGCCGGATGGCAACTAACATAAACGAAATTGCTCTCGCCAACACCGGCTTGATCGGGTGCCTGTCTGACGAGCTAGGCGATCTGAACGAGCTGACGGTGTTCGACGTGAGCGGTAACGGGCTCGTCGGGAGTTTGCCGGAGAACATGGGGAGTATGGAGAGCCTAGAGGAGGTTAACATCGCCGGAAATAAATTCTCCGGCGAGATCCCGGCGAGCGTGTGCTCGTTGCAGAAGCTGGCGAAGTTTAATTACGGGGATAATTATTTCTGCGGCGAACCGGGTTCGTGCCTGAAGGTGAAAGAGAGAGATGATTCGAAGAACTGCATAACTTCTAGGCCTAAACAACGCTCTCCTAGAGAGTGCCATTTGAAATCACAGCCAGTTGGTTGCAGTAATTAATTAATATAATTAAAGTGAAATAAATGTTATTTCCTCTTAATTATATTAATTATTATTATTATATATATGTGACATGTATTTATTATATATATATATGCTCGAATGTAAGAGTTTGTACTGCTTGTAACATTTCCTGATGATGTTTGTTCAAGATTACACAGGGGGTTATGTGCAATTAGCTCTTATTTTATAATGATATTCATTTTTACATATTATAAATTACGTACATGTAAATATAATATTTTAGAATAAGAAAGAAAAAATAATCTTATGTAAAATATAATAGTTTAATTTTATCTCATGATTTTTTTTTTAATATAAAATTATATATCTATCAAAATAAGATAATAAAGCAAAAGAATTCACTATTATCTTTTAATTTTATTTTCTCATATATAATCTTAATTCTAGGCAAAACTACATCTACAACAACTCCAACACATATCTTATAAATTACATACCTTTGAGTATTTTTTGTTAAATAATAAATAAAAAAAACACTTAATTAGCTAGTCATTTACAGTTAAATGTAAACCTCTATAAATTAGTACGACTAACGAAAATCTATTAATTTAGCGGAATATTAAATTATCAAACTAATAATTTAATAATTTTTTTTACCGATCCGGGACGAGAATAAATTATTAATTAAATGCGGTTATTAATTTATGGATGTTCTTCTGTAATTTTGTATGCATGAAATAATCTTATTCGAAAAGAAAAAAAATAATATTCTATCATACAAATTATTGGGCTCCGTTTCAACTGGGCCTATGGGCTTTCGCATTATAAAAAAAAAAAACCCATTAAACGAAACGACTATAAATAAGAAATAGGGTTTCGTCGAACACATTTCTTCACTCCCTACTGACAGCCAAATCCATCGTCCAAGCTTCATCAGCCGCTATGGCCGTCGGGTACAAATCTCTCACTTCTGTGTTGATTCTGTTTTTAATTTTTTTTTTTTTAATTTCAATTTGCTGTACAAACCCTAAATCGGCAATTTGTAATGTGTTCGTTTTCTTCGATTTTGATTTTGATACAGAAAGAACAAGAGGATTTCCAAGGGGAAGAAGGGTGGGAAGAAGAAGGCGTAAGTTGCTTTCGTTATTTTGTTGATTAAATTCAATGCTGCTGTTGTTTTTTTTCTGGATTTTTTTTTTTTTTTGTGTTTATTGATAATTTCAAATTGAATTGATTTGATTAATTGCAGTGTCGATCCATTTGCCAAGAAGGATTGGTACGATGTCAAAGCTCCGTCCGTGTTCAACACCAGGAATATCGGCAAAACCCTAGTTACCCGTACCCAGGGTACTAAGGTAATTTTGTTTCAATTGATATGAATCAAGTGTAAATGTAATTGTATTTTAATTAATATTCAGCATACACTGTTATTCGTAAATGTTTATGTTTGATCGAGTAATTTTTCGTTTGTTTAATGTTTTCGAGTAGCGATGATAAGCATACACTAGTGTCTCTGTTTGTTATATCCTTGTATTCCTCGTGGTTGCATTGTAATTTTGCTTGATTAATGCGTCTTACCGAGTATTTGCATTGTCGTCCAACGAAGGACGCGATGGTTAAGATCTTCGTTTCTATGTTTATGTTATATCCTTGTAAAAAAATGATGCAAAATTGAAATATGTTTTTGCTGCAGTCTTGTCTATTTGTTCGTCATTTTATAATCTTGCCGTATATGGAATTTGATACCCTCTTACAGAATATGTGTACAAGATGATGAACAAAATGCCTACTTTTTATGTTTTTCAATAACTCCTTTGGACAAATGTAACATTTTAGTTTAAGACCATCACTCTACTGTCGAAGTATCTAAATTCCGCATGTTTATCGAGTAGATTGCTTCTGAAGGACTCAAGCACCGTGTGTTTGAGGTGTCATTGGCTGACCTTCAATCTGACGAGGATCATGCCTTCCGAAAGATCCGTTTGAGGGCTGAGGATGTTCAGGGAAAGAATGTTCTCACAAACTTCTGGGTACGATTTTTTTCTTCTCCAAAGAATCTTTTTAATTGTCTTCGAATCCACTCGATAATTTCAATATCTTAATATCCATCCTTTTTTTTCCCCGTTTCTTGAAATTGCAGGGTATGGACTTCACTACCGACAAACTGAGATCCCTTGTCAGGAAATGGCAGACACTGATCGAAGCCCATGTCGATGTCAAGACAACCGACAGCTACACGCTAAGGTTGTTCTGCATTGCCTTCACTAAGAAGCGCGCTAACCAGCAGAAGAGGACATGTTATGCTCAATCAAGCCAGATTCGTCAAGTAAGTAAATAAATACTTAAATAATATTTGCCGTATTGTTGTTTTGCTTGTATTTCGTCGTTATTTATCTTGATATTCTTTTCCTTCTAAAATTTTTAGATAAGGAGAAAGATGATGGAGATTATGGTTGCCCAGTCGCAATCTTGCGATCTCAAGGAATTGGTTCAGAAGTTCATTCCCGAGTCGATTGGAAAAGAAATCGAGAAGGCAACTTCAAGCATCTATCCTCTCCAGAATGTGTTTATCAGGAAGGTCAAGATATTGAAAGCACCCAAATTCGACCTCGGAAAGTTGATGGAGGCAAGTACCCATTATACCCTTTTCCTTTTATTTAATTTTTAATTTAGAGATAATAAATGTGACTCGTAATTTATTCTCGATGTCTATTTGCAGGTTCATGGTGATTACACTGAAGAGGTCGGTGTGAAATTGGACAGGGCAGCCGAAGAAGCTGTAGCTGAGCCGACTGAACTTGTTGGTGCTTAGGTTATTAAATGCTTTCTAAACTTTGCCTCCTTCGATTTCTGTATGAATTGTTCGAGTCAGAGTTGACTTTTTTGGAGTGATTTAGAAAGAGATTTTCCTTGCCCGGATAATGGTTCAGACATATTTATGTTTGGTGTTAAATTTTGTTCACTTATATTAATTGTGGATTATTTCTTTCAATGGGTTTTCTTTATCAACCTATGTTTGTTTGTTCTTGTGTTGCATGCGCTATTAATTCTTAATGGTTTAATGAAAATGAAAATTCTTCTCATAGATTGGTACTGAAATAACACGAATTGAGTTGGAGTAGGTTAGTTTTTTCTTACATATTTTATATAATTTTTTACTAGAGTTTGAATTGAGCATAGTTTAAATTTGTTTCATTATATTCACGAAAATAGTGTCTTTTGTTTGATTTTGATTTTCAGAAATTATGAAAAATCCCATATGGTTGAGTAATTACAATTATCCCCTCAACTATGTATTTTTTTTTTTTTGAAAACCCGCTACTTCAACTGGTAAATTTGACATCGTAACTAATTTAACATTATCTTAGGGGGTGAAAGTTAGTCGTGTAAGACAATACATAGGTAAAGGCTGGTTGTAATTGGCCAAATAAGAGGGGTTATTTGTAATTTAAGTATTTAACCTTACTGGACATGTAAGTTAATACATAGTTGATGGATAGTTGTAATTACCTAATCATGAGTTGATGGATAGTTGTAATTACCTAATCATGAGGGATTAATTTGTAATTTGACTTTACCTTTAGGGTGGACAGTAGTTTGCCCTAAAAAAAGCCAAAAAAAAAAAAAAAATACGAAATAACAGAAGTAGTTTATTAGAATTAGATAATCACCTATCAACATAATAACAAGAACTCAATTAAAAACATTTTTCCTCTTACAAACTAAAAAAACAAATGATCAATGTAAGAAGATTTCACTCAGCTTCCAATTCTACTAGTTGAAGGCCTAAAACACCCACAGAGGGCACCTTTCTTCCTCCTTCCACTCTGCTTCTTCCCATTATTACTATATATAAAATCCCTCAACACAATACTCTTACTCTTGAAAAACTTACCTCTCACTTTACTCTTCTTCTCTTCATCCATCTTCAACAATATATACTGTATCTTCTGCACCTCCAGCTGCAGCCTCCCGATTCTTTCCGACCCTTTTCTCGCCTGCTCGGTGATCCTCCTCCTCCGCGTTTTCACTGCCTGTTTCAGCGGCGGCGACGCCTTCACCTCCGGCGTCGGGCACTCCTCTAACGCTTTCACCAGCTGCCCGTTCAACTCGACTAGGCTTTCGACTGTTTCCTCGGCTTCCATGAGCTGTTCCTCGACCGTCTCGAAGTCGACGTTTTTCGATTTTTTACTCTTTTTGTTCGTCTCCAGTTTGGTCCGGAGGTTCTCTACGGTTATGTGGAGATTCTCGAGCTTTTGGGAGTCGGACGTCAGCCGTTCGAGGATTCTCCGTGCGCTCACTTCTCGGCTCGGCTCGGTGATTCTTCGAGAAACTTCCATTTTATCCACGCCCAGCTCTTTCTCCGCGTCGGAATCTGTTGACGGAGGGTCGAATTGGTCGTAAACCATGTCCTTTTCGGTCATTTTGCACGACAGCCTCAGCGACTCGCCGATTGTCAGATCCTCGGACGTTTTTTCCCACAGCTCGAGCATTTGATCTTCTTCTCCACCATTTGTTTTATTACAACCTCGTTTTCTCAGTGAGCGATTCGAGACTTGGTCGAGTGGAATATCTTTCATCAGCATTGCGTTTCGAATTTCAGTGGCTTTGGTTTTTATCTTCTGCAGCTTCGGAGTTTCGGTTACGGCGAGGAGCTCGTTACCCTGTCCTCCCTTCTTTCTGCCCAAGCAACGGCTCGATTTTGACCGCTCGTTATCGATTTTGGAGTTCAATTTTCTTTTCGATAATGGCTTGTTTGTTTCTTCCATCGATTTTCCAACCGCTTTTATTCTCATTTGCAAGTCCTGTAAGCTAATGAGAGATTCATCTTCTAGAAGTTTCTCAGAAGAACTTCTACTGTGATTATCAGCAAACTGAAAAAAAAAAGATAATAAAAATTCAATCTTGATTTCAAGTAAAAAAATAAAAAATTATTATGTTTCTGACAAGAGAAAGTAATTAGTTATTACCTCAGCTTCTTGATTTAAGGTTGCTTTAAGCTTTGTCTGAAGTAGTGCATTGTGCTCGAGGAATGTAATATCGTCTTTCAAGGCAGCTACAACTGGAGCGTAAGCATGTAATCGTGATTTCAATTCCTTAATTTCACTCTCCATCGAACATATTTTCGAAGCATTTTCCTTCTCGAGAATCCGATACGCCCCATTGAGCTCATGCACCTTATTTTTAAACAAAACTTCATTAACAGAAGAAGATATCTGAAGATCGAAACAGAACTCTTCGAACTCATTGTTCTTCTGATGGAGTAGGCCAAGTTCGGTTTCTAAGTTCGTCTTATTTTCAGACAGCCGGAGTATATTGTTTTCAAGATTCCTGTTTTTCCACAGCGATTCTTGAAAATTGGTTATCAGCTTCGAGTTCAAAGTTTCGGCTTCGTCGAGTTTTCCTTCTGTTTGTAGAATATCCCTTTTCATCCGAACATTATATTCTCTCATCCCTTGCTTCTCTCTCTCCAATCTAAAAACAGCATCTTTAAGCACTAAATTTTCGGCTTCTTGCAAATTGAGCTTCTCCGATAAAACCCTCGTTTCCTTTTCAAGATTACCGTTAATCACGTGCTGTCTGTTCAGATCTTCCAAAAGGGATTTCACTTCCGTAATTTTCTCTTCGACGAAACTCCTCAAAATTTCCGATCGGTTAGAAACTTCTAGATTTTCAAGAATCGCAGCATCATTGAACATATCCAACTTCCGAAGCAAATTCTCGTTATCCCTTTTCACTTGCGAGTACGATTCGTACAAAGCATTGTAAGATTCGTGTGAATCCACTTGTTTGATACAAAGACTCTCCAACTCAGCCTCGAGCACAACACCATCGGATTTCAATTTCCTGCTCAACTCGACGAGTTCATCTTTCTCGTTTTTCTCCATAGCATGCTTTTCTGACATGGCTTTAAACTCCTCCTCAAAGTACATCTTCTGTGATTCGATTTGCATCACCTTCGACTCTACTTGCTCGAGTAGAGTTAGCAGAACCGAGTTCTCGACCAGTAGCTGCTGCTTATTATCCTCGTGCGCAGAAATCGAGCATTTCATATCTTCAATACTTTCAAGAATATGACCCACAAAAGTTTCCTCATTCTCGATTTTTTCATCGGGATCCACATTATCAACGGCCCTGAAAACCTGGTACAAACTCAATCTCAGCCGTTCGATTTCGTCCAGCAGGAGCTCGGATTCCACCTGCTGCTCAAGACTTCCATTTTCCAATTCCGATATCAGCTTCTCAGCCAATTTAGAAGCTTCGACGTGTTTTTGGCATTCGATTATGAGGGAGTAGTTTTTTTCTTCCATGTCTTTTATAAATTTCTGCAAAATGGATATTTCGAACTGGGCTTTGAAGGATCTTTCGAGCTCAGCATCGAATTCCTTCTTCTTCCACATATTCTCTTCTTTGAGGAGACAAATCTGGTTTTCGAGTCCCGAAAAACGGGCCCCACTTTGAACATCGAAGCTCGTTCGCTCTTGCTTCTCCACGCTCAGCGAGATTTTAAGCTCTTCAACTCGAGAATGCACCGCCTTGTTTTCCTTCTCTAATGTGGTGTATTTTTCTTCGAGGCTTTTGAGTCTGCTCTCGACATTTTCCAATTTTATGACCAAACTACCCCTCTCACTCAATAGATGAGATCTTTCATTCTTGAGCAGCTCACAAATCTCTTCCAATCCCTTCGATTTCTCCCTCAAACCTTCGAGTTCGATTTTTGCAGTCGAAAGAGAGTTTTCAAGAACAGCATTGTTCTCCAATAGCTTGTGCATGCTCTCGGTTATGGCGTGTAATTGAGACAAGAGAGAAACTTTCTCGGACAAAAGTGTCGATTTTTCTACGTTGAGAAACTGGCAAGTTTCTTGCCAAGCTTTCACGTTCTCTCGCACATTCGCCAGCTCATCATTCATGTCCGAGATCGAACTTTCTTGAACAATTTTTTTTGTCAGAAGATCTTGCATGTCTTCAATCTTTTTCGAAAGAACCTCTTTCTCGTCTTGCAAGCTCTTCACCGAACTCGAAAAACATTTCGGGTTCAAACCAACTAATTCCACTTGCTCAACTAAATCATTATAGCTCATAGTCAAGCCGTTTATTTCCTCTTTCAGACACGAAATTTCCTTCTGAAGGGAATCGCTCCGTTCGACGTGGTGTAAAACTTCCGTTTCAAGCCTCTCTTTAATTTCCCTTAAGCTGATGACTTCGTTTTTTGTATTCTCCATGGCCAAGTTTGACTCGGTCAAACTTCGAATTTCTTCCTCCAAGCCAATTTTGCTCACTTCCAAGTCCTTTAGCATGTGAAACACATTTTCGAGTTCCAACTTTAGAGCCGTTCGATCGTCTTGCGATCGAGAGTGCAAAGTTTGCACAGTTTGGAGAGTGGATTCAACTCGTGCGTGGCTCAAGTGCTCGTCTTGCAGGCACGTTTGAAGATTCTCCAACTCGTCCTGCTTTATGGAAAGTTCTAGATCCTTCTCCGAAATCTTCTGAACAAGATTTTCCGCCTCGTTTTGCAGGGACAAATTGGACATTTCCAAGGACGAAGACTTCTCTTCGGCTGTCTTGAGTTTTATACTTCCGATAAGTACGTCTTTATTGAGACGTTTGACTTCATCTTTGGCTATCGATAGCTCTCGTTCGAGCTTCGATATTGTCTCCAAGCAGCACTTGTACTTCAGAGCAAAAGCATCTTTCTCCCTTTGCAAATCGGCAACAGATTTTTTAAGCTTCGACACTTCGTTTTCGGCTCTTTGTGCTTGTTTCAAAAGAAGTTTCTTTTCGAGCTCAATTCTTGAAATTTCGTTTTTTAGTGTTTGAGCTTCGTTTACTGCTTCCATCGCCCTCGTATTAACCCCCTTCGTATCTTCTTCGACTTTAGAAACCATAGCCTCCAAATTAGAGATCTTCTCCAAATACTCGACTTCAGCTCGGTTGACTTTTTCGTCGAGTGCCTTTGACTCCCTTTGTGCATTATCAAGCTCTCTTTCTAAATCCGACAACCTTGCCAGACGCCGTTGATACTCGAGAAGCACTTCTTCCTTCTCTGCTGCCACGTCAGCAAGAGCTTTCTTCAACCCTTCAACTTCGTCGTCGTTGTCATCAAGAAAGTCAACCTGGTCAAACAACGCACGGACGGGAAATTTCCTCTCCGGTGGCGTGTGTGGTGGGTCCCAGGGGCTTCAGAGGGCGAGTCATCGATTAGCTCGAAAGGTACTTGATCGGGGAGCTTTTCTCCTG